CAAAACTGCAAAACGGATTCGAATTTAATCAAAATGCATGTCAAAACAAATGGCAACACTTAATGTGCTTAAAGAAACAGGACACTTTAGGGTCAGCTCATCGTTTTGTTCTTTCTTAAGTGGTTCCAGACATTGAAAAGTTTCTTTATTCTGTTGAACACAAAAGAAGATATTTTGAAGAATGCTGAAACCCTGTAACCATTGACTTTCATTCATTTTCCTATCATGGAATTCAATGGTTACAGGTTTCCAACATTTTTCAAAATACCTTCTTATATAGCAGAAGCAATTACGTAAATTAATACAATCATTATATATTGGGGTGACACGGTGGCTCAGTGGTGAGCACTGTTGCCTCACAGCAAGAAGATTGCCGGTTCAAGTCCCAGCTGGACCAGTGGTCATTTCTATGTGGAGTTTGCATGTTCTCCTAGTGTTGGCGTTGGTTGCTCTGGTTTCCCCCACAGTCCAACACACTGATGAAATAAATTGGCGGTAGTGTATGTGTGTGTGTGTGAAAATGAGCGTGAGAATGAGCTCTCACTCACACACATGCACCATGGACAAGCTTACCCAATTCCCCTATAGCGCATGTGTTTGGACTGTGGGGGAAACCGGAGCACCCGGAGGAGACCCATGCCAACACATGGAGAACATGCAAACTCCACACAGAAATGACCACTGGTCCAGCTGGGACTCAAACCAGTGACCTTCTTGCTATGAGGTGACAGCGCTACCCACTGTGCCACTGCGCTGCCCCATCAAACATAATATATTGATCAATTTAGTATTTGATTAGATTGATAGATTGATATTACACTGTACAAAGGCAATAAAAAGGGAAGAAAACATGATATATTGATGATATTATTAAACTCAGAGCTGCATAACAGAACCGAATCTAATTTAAACGCATTAAAAAAATAAAATCACAATAATTTATGTGCTTAAAGAAACAGGGAGACTTAATTCTGCTCTGCTCCCCACAGTCTGATCCAAACTGAGAAACACAGTGGCAGAGCATCACTGAAGATGACAACACACACACACACACAGAGGAACACAGAGGGGGCTTTGTGGGACACACAGGCGAACAGAAAAGTGAACAAAGACTCTTGTGTGTGAGGATCTTCACAGCTGGGACGTCCAGTGAGTTCAGGACACTTACAAACACCACACCAGCATCTTATTACTGTAATAATAATAATTACAGGCGTCACGGTGGCGCAGTGGGTAGCACGATCGCCTCACAGCAAGAAGGTCGCTGGTTTGAGTCCCGGCTGAGTCAGTTGGTGTTCCTATGTGGAGTTTGCATGTTCTCCCCGTGTTGGCGGGGGTTTCCTCCGGGTGCTCCGGTTTCCCCCACTGTCCAAAGACATGGGGAATTGGGTAGGCTTAATTGTTCGTAGTGCATGTGTGTGTATGAGTGTGAATGGATGTTTCCCAGTGATGAGTTGCGACTGGAAGGGCATCCGCTGCGTAAAACATATGCTGGATAAGTTGGCGGTTCATTCCGATGTGGCAACTGCTGATGAATAAAGGGACTGAGCCAAAGGAAAATGAATGAATGAATGAACGAATGAGGCGATGCAGTGGCGCAGTAGGTAGTGCTGTCACCTCACAGCAAGAAGGTCGCTAGTTCGAGTCCCGGCTGGGTCAGTTGGCATTTCTGTGTGGAGTTTGCATGTTCTCCCCGTGTTGGTGTGGGTTTCCTCCGGGTGCTCCGGTTTCCCCCACAGTCCAAACACATGCGCTATCCGCTTGTTAAGTGTGACGTCACGAGAGTTGGCTCCCGGGTCCAAGTGCTCTATCAAACTGTATGAGGAGACTCATCAAATGCTAATTATAAAAGTTTACAAAGCGATGCAATACTTTCCAAAATCACGATCACATTATATATATTTATGCCTAATATCCGATGGCCAGAAAGAGATCAATTTTTTACAAACTGTTAAAATGTTGGTATTTGTGATGCAGTCCAAGTTCAGTGTACACTATGATTTTATATATAAGTCACTTTAGTGTGTGATAGGAATAAAAAGAGGCCATAAACGGATATTTTCTCAATTTAAAAGAGTAACAGGAAACAGTACTGCATACGTCACCAATATGCAGGGCCATTTTTGTGCAGAATTTCGTTAAAAATCTGCAGATTTATATGGAATGATTTTAGGAGGATCATAATTAAAACCTTAACATATGAAATAAAAAGTAATACCTTTATAACTTTTATTTAATGTTTACAATGCAAATCCAATTAGATCCACTTCATGTAAACAAAGCAGGTCTCTCATATAATATCTCTACTAAAAGTCAGAAAATATTACTGTACAAACTGCATTGTAAATAAAGCATATGAATATTTTCATATTAGTCAATAATTATACTAAATTAATTTAAAAACTGAATAAATATAAATTTACACACATTTACACAAGTTAATAAACAGAATTAATGATGGGCTAAAAATCTGCAGAATTCTGCAAGCGCAGATTCCGTGTGGGCCTACCGATATGTCACGACTTAACAAGCAGATGGGGGAATTGATGAACTAAATTGGCTGTAGTGTATGAGTTTATATATATATATATATATATATATATATATATATATATATATATATATATATATATATATTCAATCTGAATCTGAATCTGAATCTTTATATATATATACATACATATATATATATATATATATATATATATATATATATATATATATATATATATATGTGTGTGTATAGCTTTATTGCTTATATAAATAATAACAAAAAATATAAATAAATCTATTCTTAAAATAATGATCATTATTAAAGTAAAACAAACATTTCCTAATTATTTAAGTTTGGCTGGAATAAAAAGATAAATAAAAAAATACAAGTAAAACCTGCTAAAGTCAATTTCATTTTTGTTATTGTCAACAGGACCAACCACTGTTGTCCAACACCTTGACTAATTACCCCAACTTGCCTTTAAATTAAGCCTTTAACTTGCACTAGTATCGTGAGAAATACCAAGGAAAATATTATATACTGCCATCATGGCAAAGACACAATAAATTAGTTACTAGTTATTCAATTTATAATGTTTAAAACAAATATTCTCTCTGTTAAACAGCGCTTTTTTTTCATTTAACAGAAGGCCTGACATTATCTTCAATACATTTCTTCTGTATGGGCATCACGGTGGCACAGTGGGTAGCATGATCGCCTCACAACAAGCAGGTCGCTGGTTTGAGTCCCGGCTGAGTCGGTTGGTGTTCCTATGTGGAGTTTGCATGTTCTCCCCGTGTTGGTGTGGGTTTCCTCTGGGTGCTCCGGTTTCCCCCACAGTGCAAACACATGTGGTATAGGGGAATTGAATAAGCGTAATTATTTGTAGTGTATATGTGTAAACAAGAGTGTATGGGTGTTTCCCAGTGTTGGGTTGTGGCTGGAAGGGCATCCGCTGCGTAAAACATACGCTGGATAAGTTGGCGGTTCAATCTTCCGTGGTGACCCCTGATTAATAAAGAGACTAACCCGAAAAGAAAATGAATGAATGAATGAACAAGTCTTCTGCTGTATTCTCTCTGATGTTGATCTGAGGTTTGTTTCGGCTGGTTCATCTTGGCTTCAAATCAAACAGAATCCACATGAGAAAAAGCCAGTCAGGACACAAAGAGTTTCTGAGCGAAAATCAATCCAGAAAAGAAAAAGGAAAGACAAAAACTTTTCTGCATGGCCAGCAAAAGCTCAAGACAAAGAGCTGAAGTGAACAGCAGCACTGAGCCCTTTCATACATCACAACAGATTAAGCTTTCAATATAAAACACATGGTGCTCATGCCATTTAAGATGATTAAACCTAAAATACTAGTCAACCAGCTTAAAGAGGATTGAACTAGTAGTTCCAAAACACAATTAACCAGATTAATGTGTACTTAACACGCAGATAATCGCTATATCAGCGCATTATAAAGTTGTAAAGCTTTTATTAAGCAGATAAAGCGACCGCGCTAGTGATGCGCAAACGAATCGTTCATTCAAGCCGACTCTTTTAAAAGATTCGAATCACCCGAGCAAAAAGCATATAAAAAACTTTGCTTAAGACCACAAACATGCTCAATTCATTAAACAAAAATGTTCGTACACAAACTATTTAACCTTTTTATGTTTAAGAAAAAAAATGTGATTCGATTCACTGAGCGGTTACAAACCGATTCACTAAAACGAATCATTCCTCCTCATATTTCATAAAGAACACAACTGGAAAAGGACGTAATGCGATAAAGATTGACGAGATTGACTAGAAGTAGCATTAGTTGGAAACATCCACATAAATAAGCTGGTTTTCAGGGATAAAGTGATGTCTTGTGTTTAGTGAAGTGTCAGGTTTCACAAAGCGAGTGTTCAGTGTCTGCTGCCCTTCCCCCTGCTAATGTACACTTCATAGGGGATATTACTCTAATAATGCATTGAGTTTACATTTGCACTGAGCGTTCATCCTCCATCTAGGGGAGCACTGAGATGTTTGGCATGCCATCCAGGCAGTGATTTGCAGTGCACACTATTTAGTGAGCATGCCAGCTGCATTGCATTTCGGTGTGATAGTTTGCCTTGTGTTTGCCATACAGATGTGACACCCCTTCCCCCCCTGGACGCATCAATCTTGAAGCCACTACGCTGAGAAATCAGTCCGATTTGATTCCTTCAGCTCAAACAAGCAGAAGTGGCGTGTGACATGTCGTTTAGCATGCATTCTGATGCTTGAGGCTGCATTATGCAAGTTATTTCACATGCATGCATAATTCAACCCACACCTGTCATCCAGTGCTGAGAATGGGGCCAGCAGTGTTGCTTTACATGGGAATGCATCAGGCAGAGAGGATGAATACGACAGAAAATATGTAGAATATGCAAATATGCACACTTTAACCACATAAAATGAGCATAATACAGTCTTTAATTTAACGAAACAGCGCGTTCTCCAACGCAAGCATGTATAAAAAGCGTCATACCTGAATAAATGCGTCTGATTCCTGTTATTCCATGCCAGTTATTCCTTAAAATATTCCTCTGTTCTTCTGTCACGCGCTGGTGTTCATTGCAGAAATACAGTACAGTGATATTCTATGAATCCCGTTAAACTGGAGCTCCGGAAAGCGCTGGAAGGGGATCCGCTTTGAATATGCTGCAGCACATATGATAAAAGCGATCAGGCTAATTGTCTAACCCAGCAGCTAATAATGTGAGTATGAGCCGCATAAACCCTCATACACCGCGGCGGTGCTCAATTTCTCCGGTGCTGCGATGTTCTGGATCTCGGTGTGTGTGGCTCCACCCCTCCGCATGCAGATGGTACGGCCCACTTTCTATTGTTGGAGCCACAGAAGCGAGGACTCGCTGCAACAAACCGCGGCTCCGCCCACGGCAGGATTCCTCTTTTGATTGGCTGAGGTCGCACAGAGACCACACCCATTTGCCCAATCAATGTAATTGCAACTTGTTTAGCGCCCAAACAACTTAAAGGGGTTGTAGATGTGTGCTTGGGGGTGTTTGTTGTTGATGGGATTTTTAAAAACTATTCATGTACAGTAGAAGGGATAGTGAGCATGTTAGTTAGTTGTTTTAGTCCTTATTATTGTATTATTACTTAGGAATGATGGCAAATGTGGCTTTATCTCCTCATAATACAATGCTCATTAGTATGCAGATATTAAATGCAGAGATTTACAGTCATAACTTCTGTCTGTGAGTATATAATACTGTCTACATATATATATATATATATATATATATATATATATATATATATATATATATATATATATATATATATACACACACACACACACACACACAAACCCTTTATTTACCTTTATTTTACACCCAAACAACTTATATTTTGCTATAATTTTATTATAATATAATATGTTTTATGTTGTTTTACAATTTCCTATTTTTTTTAATTATTATTTTAACTGTTAAAACTTTGTAATATGTATTAAACATTTTGGATTGGCTAAATGTGTATTTTAATTGCATATGTAATATGCCTATCAGCAGGTAACAGAGAAATGTATATTAGCGGCAATAATCCAATGCTATTATTATTATTATTAAAATTATTTATTTATTTATTTATTTATTTATTTATTATTCCAAGTTAAACAAAGAAATTTTGCCTTGAAAATACGCTTAAAATAATCATATAATATATTCAAGTGTGGTTTCATTTCAGTAACCAAAAATTATTTGATTATATTAGTTAACGTAAATAACCCTGTAAAGAATATTAATAAAGTGTAGAATAAACATCTGATATTTCTATAATAAAATATACATCATTATTATATTGAATTTATTCCATAAAATGTATCACAGATTTACATTATCATATTAACACTACCTGCCAGAGAAAAGGGAGAAAATACAGACAGCATCACAAACTAGTTTAAAATAGTATTTTTTTAAATTGATTGATTGATTGATTGATTAATTGATCAATCAATCGATCCATCAATCCATTCATTTATTCATTCATCCATTTATTTATTTATTCATTTATTTATTTATTTATTTATTCCTCCATTTATCCATCCATTTATCCATCCATTTATTTATTTATTTATTTATTTATTTATTTATTTATTTATTTATTTATTTATGTATGTATGTATTTAATCATCCATCCATCCATTTATTTATTTATTTTTTTTGTTTGTGTTTATATGTATTTATTCATCCATCCATTCATCCATCCATCCATCCATTTATTTATTTATTTATTTATTTATTTATTTATTTATTTATTTATTTATTTATTTATTTATTTATTCATTCATTTATTCATGTATTCATTCAGTTATTTAATTATGTATTTTATGTATTTATTAATTTAATTATTCATTCATTCATCCATTTATTTATTTATTTATTTATTTATTTATTTATTCATTCATTTATGTATTAATTAATTAATTAATTTATTAATTTATTTATTTATTCATTCGTTCATTCGTTTATTTATTTTTAATTCATTCATTAATTCATTCATTCATGTATTCATTTATTTATTCATTTATTTATTTACCTATTAATTAATTAATTTATATATTTATTTATTCTTGTTCCAAGAGGTTTAAATATATTTTAGTCATTATATACAAAGTAATTTCTAAAATGTAAGATATTTGCTTCACATTGAGTCCATTTCTTCTTATTTATTTATTTATTTATTCATTTATTTGAGTATTTATTTATTACTTATTCTATTTATTCATCTAACAAAATGTACACTTGTAAATAGCCTACGTTGTTCTTTACATTTTTGTAAAAGAACATTAAATACACATATTTTACAATAATCTCCTGTTTTCTATTAATTTAGCATACTAAACCAAAATAATGTTCATTAAATACAGTCAAAATACAGATTAAACGCTTCTTCCTGACCACGAAAACACAATTTTGTGGGAAATCAACCAGGATAATTATTATTAGGTGTAATGGGTTTTCAAATTTTACAATTTTATTGTTGGCAAGTTTGTTTGCCGGTTTTCATGCTAAAAATATAAAAAAATTAAGAAAGCCAAAAACGTCTTAAGAGGAAGAACTAAGCGCGCTCACGTTGTTATGCTCGCTCTCGTAGTCTATTTTTTCCAGAAAGGTCCTAAAAGATACAACTTCTTGGTATTGCTCTAAATAACTGCACGTTTTTGACATTGAATATTTAAGTGCTTTTGGTCCACTTATAACATTTTGAAGTGCAAAAACGTGTTATAATGATCATTTTAAGGATATAAATTTGATTAATTTATTCGCATGCATGATTGATCTTCGAGGACCCGCTGACGAAATAGCCACAACAGTCAAGATGGCGGCGGCGGTGGGTTCCCTCGTTTCGTACGGCAGCGACTCAGATTCTGAAAACGAGTCTGAATCTCCAAACAACCCACAAGAAATTGACCCAGACGCTCTCGTCCATCTCAAGCCATTAAAATCAGGCGGTGTGACGACTGTCGCCGTGTTAAATTCAGCACCTGAGGTCGCAGTAAAGGTAAACAACAAACACGCCGCGGAGAGTCAGAGCAGCCGCGTAATACTGTTGATTTGAATATAAGAGCGCTCTATAAAGCGATTTAAACTCTATATTAATGTATTAAACAGGGTTATATTTTCATGTTATTTACTTTGTATGGAATGTTTCGTCACTATAAATCAGACGAGGTTGTTTTACTGTTAAAGTCATTTATATGTAACGTTAGGGCTTCGTGATACTGGGAAAACTACATTGAGATTTATTTGTATTTTTTTGTGATACTGACTATAATTTGATGAATTAACTCTTATGTTCATTGAGTTGGTTTTATATTTACGCATTCTGACTTTCTCTTTAATAACATAATTTCAGAAAGGTATTCTTTGCAAATGCTAATAGGTAAATTATATTAGCAGCCAATGACTATCAACGTACAACATTGTTCAGTGAATGAAACAGTGCTAATGTTGTTTTGAAGCCATACTTGCTTGAGATTTCACACCCAATATTCAAACTAGCATGGTAAACAATATAGGGTACATTAAAATTAGTTAAAAACAATTAGTTGAGTACATTTCTATCAGTATTGGATTATGGAGATATGCTGTATTTGACTGCATCTCTGTTTGTTTAAAAAAAAAGGATATTGTTCATCATAGTGTCTTACAATTTGTCAATGGTTTAAGTGCACACACACATCACTGTTATTTATATAAGATGACAGAATGGACCTCATTACAGTCAAGGAGAAAACAACATGTTAGTTTTTACTTTTAGAGGTTTACTTGGTAAATTACCATAGTATATATGGCGTCATATTGGCGCAGTGGGTAGCACGATTGCCTCACAGGGAAAAAGATCGCTGGTTTGAGTCCCTGCTGGCTCAGTTGGCGTTTCTGTGTGGAGTTTCCGCAGTGGCGACCCCTGATTAATAAAGTGACTAAGCTGAAAAGAAAATGAATGATATCTAGTTTGCTGGAGTTCTGTTAAAATACTTATAATATCAGATCAGCAGATTTACTCTTAGGCCCCGTTTACACTAGTGCGTTTTAGTTTGAAAACGCATAAGTTTTGCTACGGTTACACCATCCGTCCACACTACGCCGGAGTTCTCGAGCGCCAAAAACGGAGCTTTTTGAAAACGCTGGAGAGGCCGTTTTCATTCTAAAACGCTGCTGCTCCGTCTCAGTGTGGACGGGGAAAGACGGAGACATCTGAAAACGGAGGCGGGGCTGCAAACGTTCGCCTATCTGATTGGGGCTTTTCCTGAATATTAAGTAGCCCACACACAGTTCAGTCTCGCATCCTCTTCTTGTAAGTTAAGACTTCGCAAGTTTGATCAAGGCTGCAGTCTCCCCCTTCTCAGTTTGATATGGAAAACATACCGAGGACACGGGTAAATCTTCAAAGGGAACAGTGTACTTTATAACTTCATTCACATCACCCTGGCTGCGTTGTTTCACTTTCGCAACAATAAAATGTAAACATGATATAAGGAACTGCCTATTTTCTTTTTAATATTAGCAACTTAACAGACAGCAGAAATGTTGAGGCGCCGTGCTGTATAGGCTATATGAGCGTCATCTTCACTGTGTGGATATTTATAACAAAACGGAGCCGATAACAACTGCCTCCTTTCAGTTTCAGTGAAAATACGAAACACACCCTCTCTATTGCTGAATATCAGTTTTAATAATCGACAATTATAAAAGTATAACATACAATAAGTTTATACATTGTAGGAAATAAAGGCAAGCGATCAATCAATGTACCTGGATTAATCATTAACTTATCTTTGCGCTTAACCAAAACATGTTACCCGTGAACAAGTAACTTAATAGATTCCAATGACCAAAGTCAGGGAATATGTCGTTAGATAAAGACAACAACATGAATGAAATATCACGTTTAGCAAATATAGTTAGATTAGATCCAGCGGGATATGCTTGATGAGCAGTCCGACAAGCAGAGCTCTCATCTGGGTAGAAATGCTGGAGCGCTTGCCTGAGTGTGTGTGTGTGGTCACATGATGTGCGTTTTCAGCGTTTTGGTGTGGACGGAGAGCTGTTCAGAAACGCTGGGTAAAACGCAAACGTGGACGTGGATCGTTTTCATTCTACAACGCCGTTTTAAAACTAAAACGCACTAGTGTAAACGGGGCCTTACTTGGGATGCCATTTTTTTTTTACATAGAGATAGGTCGATCTGCATTCTCTAAGTATGCTCTATGTCAGTGGTCCTCAAGCTTTTTTTTTTTATCAAGTACCACCTCTCAGAAATAAATTGCCTCTCCAAGTACCACCAT